TTTAAATTTTTTTTTTTTAAAAAAAACAAACTATTGGAAGAAAAACAATATTTTAATGTAAAATTAATTTTTAAAGTGAGTAGATGCAGTTGAGGGCATATCGGTAATTAAGGGGCGTATCAGGAAGTCGACGTGGCAAAATCCAGGTGGACTATCCGTGCAAATTTGGTGTGGTAGAGGTGGTTTATTGGAGAAAAGTTCTAGTATTAAAGCCACGTCAGCATCCTTTTATATATGGACTTCGTATGTGGGTCCACCAACATTAAAAAAAAAAAAAAACTATTTATAAACTAAAATATATATGTTAACGAAGTACCAGAAATTTCAGATTCGGCACCGCGGGGAAATAGGCGCTTGAAAGAGTTTGGAAACATAGAGATCAAAACAGAATTACAAGATAGAGAGATACAGTGCCGAAAAACGGAGAACGAAGGAACTAGACGAGCTTCACCGCCATTTCCAAAGCTCTCCGGATGCTCTCTCTCTGCCTCTCTTTTAATTTCGTTCAGTAACAATCCGGACGACAAACCTGTGAGTAACCATGTCTTGGTTGTTTAAGTCTTTTCAAGCCAGCGATGATGATATATCCGCCGAGTCGCCGTTGAACAGTTCGTTGTCGTCGTCGGAATGCGTCCATTTCACCACTGCCGATCCTTCTGTTAAGGACGACTTCACCGCGCTTGGTGAGACGCTGAGCCGTCAGCTACGTGGCCTCACCAACTTTCTCTCTTCACAACCATCGCCAGCAGTGATTGTTGCTGCTGATACTTCCGAAGCGAGTTCAGATTCTTCGTCGCTTTCTCAAAAGCTTCAAGGAATTCGCAATGATCTCGCAGAGATAAACGGTGGCTTGAGAAACGGCTTCTCGATGCTATCTGTTCGTAGCAACAAGGCCGTTGGAGAGATTTGTAGGTTTGCTTCTAACTTGCTGCAATTTCAGAGTCGTTCTGATGATGATGAAGAAGATGAGGAATTCGAAGACGAGTGCGTTGATGATACGCCAGGAATTACGGATGAGGTTTTAAATTTCGTTAACGACATTTCTTTGCGGCCAGAGTACTGGACCGACTTTCCCTTGGCGCTTGTTGATACAGGTAACTGCAAGTTTTTTGCTATTCATATTTGTGATAAAACATATGTTCGGTATTTAATCATTGGCCAATGAATTTAGCATAAATAGAGATTAGGATAAAAACATTGTGCCTGCAAATTGCACACAATGTTCTTAAACTAGAGCCAGAAGTGATCATTATTCATTAGAATGCTTCGGTGCCGCGAGCAATAGTATTCTGCATTTTTTCTCCTCAATCGTCTGTGTTTTCTTTCCCTTTTTCTTTTATTATTTTTTCTCTGAGAATATTGAAGCCTAACGTACCAATATAATTTTGTTGGATGCTGAAATCGATCTAGTATTTGCGAGATTAGGCAGGTTGAAATCTATATATCTCGCAACTAGAGACTTGGACATACTGCCTTCAACAATAAATCAAGATCAAGAACTAAACCTGAAAAGAGAAAGCAAAGCTATATATTCTTTTCTCCATCTCTTTAGCTGATTGCTTTAATGCATGGAAAATATATATTCCAAATTGGAGTTCGCCTGTTCTGTTTTTAGAGAGAAGTAGCGTGGGGCGTTGGTTTCTTCTAGATGAAGAATACCTCTTATCCAAGTACTCTTCCATCTTATCAGGAGCTTATCCAAATATATTTCTGACCATAACCATTTAAAGATCATATAGAAACTAACACTTTCTCCATATATGTTCTTTTATTCAATATGGTATCAAATATGTCAAGTATGTGTCAATCTGTGTGTAGCTTCGAGGATAGGACACCAATTACTATTGAACTCAAGAAAAAAAAAAAAAAAAAAAGTAGGTCAAGTACGTCTTGTTTCACTTGGTCCTAGGGTAGACGACAGGCAGTCGTCTGAATTTGGTTGTGTACACTACAAAAATTGGTTGCAGGATGGATTAAGATAATTATCAATGTAACTAAGATCGTTTACCATCTTCTGTTAATGAGAATATTCCAAGTGATGATGACACTTTGATGTATACTGATTTCTGAGAGGTAGTTGGGGCATATTCCTACTCAGCTTACTCTGAAATCCATGCTGTATTTTCTGTCATCTTCCCCCTCAATAACAAATAGACAAGAAAATTTGGAGAACCTTTGTAGAAAATAAATAAAAATTCTAACTCTTTGGTGCTTCTCCAAGAAGCACATGCACTTGTTTCTTTACAAGTTGGTAGTAGCATGTCCTTGGTTGTGGCGTAAAATCTTCAGGTGCTATTCTCTTTATTGCTTTTTGTTTCTCATTTAATGTTTTGGTATAGCCTGAGGACGTAGATCCCTGATACCTCTCGTATGATTGAGCTTTGGATAAATTAGAATTACATCCACCATAACGAAGGTGCAACTCAACCTTTATGTTAATTGGAATTGCTAATTAGGTTAGCAAAATCCATTCATATTTCCAACTCAATTTTTCTTTTGGTAGTGATAACGATAATTATTGAGAAGTTAAATTTCACATTGAGCACTTTGTATACGTAAGTCGGTTTATATGCTTTAATTTTCATTCACTATTAGCATAATGCATTGATTAGCTTTATTGCAGATTTTAAAATGTCTGACGTTCAAAGAATACACACTTCAACTGTTGAGCAATTGATTCCAAATATCTCAGCTCTTAAAATACAGCTTCAGAGTTCCATGAGCAACGAACGTTTCTGGATGATTTATTTTATATTGTTGCTTCCAAGATTCAACCAAGATGATTTTGAGCTTTTAGTAACCCCTGAGGTAAGACTTATTTACATTTTAAAATGTCACATTCTTCATTTTTTAGGTTGTTTGCAGATTATTATGAGTGATGCTTGCTGTTGCATTAAAGCCTAACTGGAATTGCTTTAGGATTTTTTTTAATCTTAAATTGATTTGGTTGCATTGACTTTTTTTTTCTTCATAATTTTGGATCTTCCTCTTCCGAGCTAGGAATCATCTTGTGGCTTTCTGTCTGCCTTTCTATCCCTATTCTGCAAGTTGGACGCCTTTACACATTTCTTGTTTTCAATATTTGCGTTCTGTGTGTTTAATGCATTTCAAGTTCATTGTCTGCTGACTGTTATGCTTACTATTAAAATGTTATTAACCTTCCCCTCTTTTCTTTCCATTAATATAGTGCAACTACATGCTAGAATTGTAGTCTTTTCATGCTATATTAATGGTAGATAATTTATATAACTTCGATGCGTTCCAGTCCTTTATTTGCTTCAAATTGAATATTGTTGGATATTGTCTGCCAATTGAATATTATTGGATATTGTCTGCCAATTGAATATTGATATGTATGCCAACGTATTTGTGATGGTTAGATCACCATAATCAAATTGCACCCACACGTGAGAGATCATAATGATAAGCCAAATTGAATTGATCCAAATTTAATGGTTAGGTTCGACCTTTTTGCTCTGTTGGTCTGATTTAGTTCAAATGTTTACAGAACTGATGATTATGTTTGGCTTCTTGCATAAGAAAAATGATAACGAATCTGTCCATTTAAAGATTAATATCATACAAATTTCAGTTTACTTAGAGGAACCGCATAGTGGAACTGAAAAAAATTGACCAGTTGGATTCAATCAAGTTATAGACTTGTTTGTGGTAAAATTCAGATGTAGTTTTCAGAAAAGTACCAAGGACGTAGGTTCAATTTAATTAGAGAGCGACAACCTTAATTACACTAATCCAGATTCTCTGCTGTTTCTGTTGGGATCTTATGCCTTTTTTTTTTCCCGTTTCAGTTGGGTTCTTCTTTGCCTATCTATAACGTTTAAGTAATTAACTTTGACCGAATGCATGATTGCAAATCTAATAACAAAATTCACTCAAACTCAAATTCCCACAATGAACATCTCTATTAACATGACTTTTACTTTAAGTTTCTGATTAATAGTGTGACATCTTTGTTCTTTTTTGGTAGATTGTCGAAGCAAGAAACCTACTTCTGGATAAATTTCAAAGAAAAGAGAAATCACAGGTGAACTCTGAGGATACTTGTGATAACAACAATTTAGTTTGTGGCACTCAAATGGGAAATATGCCATCTGAGGAAAAGGAAAACTCGACTCAAACCATTGAGGGAGGCGAAGGATTGGAAATTATGGATGGAGAGGAAGAGAATACCAATCACCAGTTGAAAATGGCAGATCCAAAAACTTCTGCCGATGTCAAAGAAAGGAGTGGTCTTGAAGGTACAATATCATTTAGTGAAATAGAGAATTATGGGACCGATTTGTCTGGAAAGTTCTCTGTAATAACCCCCCCAAGGACTTCTTCATCAACCGAGTCCAGTGATTGGGTTCATCTGCATGAAAATGCAGGCTCAAAGCTGGATCAGCAGCAGAGGACATGGAAGCAGGACACAGAGTCAGACGGTGGGGATTCAAGTGATTGGTTTAATGTGGATGAATTTGACTAAAAAGGTGGACGTAACCTCGTATTTCCCCAACCTCAACCCCCACTATTTTTTCCCCTAAAAAGTTCGAGTTTAATAAAAACGAAAAAACCCTTAGTTTGCCCTCTAGAGTAGAGTAGTTTCAAAGGAATAGGTCTTATTTATCTTCCACTTAGTTTCTTTAAAGGATAAATTTTGTGCATATGTTCTTTTCATAAGGTGTTGATATTCTAGTAGAGAATTTCTCTAGATGAGGTCGCTGATTTACGTTTTGGTTTCTATTTTTGAAAACTAGGCTTACGGTATCCATTTATTATTGCAATTTTTTTTTTCACTTCTTATAAAGTGCCTTTAAAATCTTGGGGATAAAAAGTCAAGATTAATTTGTAATTAAATGTCCTCTAAGAATTTCATCTTAAGGGTAGACAAGGTGTGTGTATGGTGGATATATAGATTTGCTTATCTTACCGACATATGCCACAACTTGTGCTAGCCACGAGGAGTTGATGCTTCCAGCGCCTGCGCCAATAGGCAAAGGTTGGATGAAAGTGGATCGAATTGACTCTAATCTGTACAGTAAATTTTGCTGAACAAGATTTGAACTGTATATATTTCAGTGTACGACTACGACACCGTAAGGCACATGTTCTTGAACAAGTGATAAATAGGTCACTTAGCTGCGTTTTCTGCATCGTTTAATTGAAGCAGGACGGCAGTAGAGGTCCTTCGCAGAAAAATGCTAGCACAATATACAGGACGATCGTGAAAATGAGCAACAACGAACATCTGCAGGATAAAAGCAAACTGATTATTGTTTTCTTTGTTTCTATACGCTCAAAATAATAGTATGGTATGGGCAGAAGAGTGGAGACCATGATGTGTTGTGCCTATTTCCTAGCTCAAAAGAATTTTTGGGTTCCACATGAAAGTGCCGGTGGGAGTCGGGAGGGACCAAACTCCGATGACAATGACGGGACAAGATAATGCGCAAGTAAAATGATTTTTAGGGACATTGCGTTATCTTCCATCCAACTGCCACAAATTGCTGTCTCACAGCTCACGCTCTAATGAAATTGATTGAAGTTGAAATTGAAACCAATTATTATTGATAACAGAGAAGTACAAGTTAAGGGAGATTGGACAGCTTCCGTCTCCCCTTAAGCCTCAAACTATAACAAACCAAAAGCATATCCCTTGGCTACTCTGCTATAGCTATGCACATACATACTTATTATTTTCCACCACTGTTTTTCTCTTTTCATGATAGATATTAATAATCTAATAAGTACTTTTCATGAAACTCGAACCTATTGGACATGATCCTAACTTCTTTTAATGAGCATTTAAAGAATAGTAGAGAGTTACCTGCCAATCATGGTTATAACTTATTGGAGTGGCATTTCAAGAGTATAGAAAAGTTATTATTGTCAAGTATGGCCATAGGAGTCTATAAATACTCACAAGATTGTTAGGTAAAAATCAAATTTAGGATGAATGGAATTGACCTTTCAAGTTAGAAACTTTTCGCCCTAAGAAATTTCAGCATCATATTTGTTATTTCTAAGATTTTAAGTCATTCTTGTGGTAGATTACATCAGTCATTCTATTAAACCTTGATCAAGTTCGATTGTAGAGTGACTCAATTTAGAACGAGGTTCTAAATCTTACTTCTAACATTTTAAAAAGTAATTTAATTCTAGTCTTATCTCTTGATTGATCCAAATTTTATATAAAGAATGTTAATTTATTTGATTGGAAGAGTTATTGGTCCAAGGATTATGATTACTCTTTTCACTGCCTAGAAGAAAAGTAAGGATCACAGTTGGTTGGGCAAATTTTTTTAATGACTAGTTGAAATAAATCAACCACTTATTATCAATAACTAACAAAGAATATATTAAAAAGATGAAAATTACATTAACCTATCATCAATTTAAGTTTTTAAATTTAGTGATGATTTGATAACATTCATACCTATTCTGAGGCAGTTGGCTGGAAGGACAAGTTTTTTTAATTACTAGTTGAAATAAATCAACTTCTTAACAACTGACAGAGAATATATTAAAAAGATGAAATTTACATTAACCTATCATTAATTTAAGTTTTTGAATAAATTTTTATTTTAGTGATGCTAATATGAGGCAAATTACCCAACTTAATAAGCCTATCATGATTCTACAATTAGAAGGAAAACATGGTCAAAAGCAGAAACCAATGAAGTCTGAATTCAATTTAAGGCAAGACATGAAAGCAGACGGTCATTGTCTATGTACTGCATGGAGTGACTACCGAAATAGCCTTATAAACTTATACCTATAATTCGCACTAATAATTTCTTAATTATGTAAGTTGAACAAAATATGAGAATTTTGTCAAAGATACTTACGTGAGTTTAAGGTTTCTCCACCACAAGGTATTTCTGTAGCGACGTGATTGTCTTCTAAATCGAACAGCATTTCCTTGAATATTTGTAGTTTTATCCACCAGCAAAGCCAAGCGGTCACCTCTCTCCAACACTTTCTCAATATTATCCATCATTACACCCCTCACCTGTAATCACATACCAATGTTTGATGAATTTCTATTCCGGTATAATTTATGTATGCTGAAACCAAATACCGACCCAATGTGAACAAGTTTGCTTTAAATACAGTTATTTCTTTTTATCCTATACTGAGTGATGAAACTGAAATACTAATATAATAATAATCTGTATCAGGCTCACGTAGATTGATAGTGGTTGTAAGAGAAGAATGTATATCAGAACTGCCACCACAAAGACCATCAGATGTTAATATTCTTATCCATCAACAAATTATTTCTTTAACGTACTCTAATCCTAATTAAATCCATTGCAAAGGATCAATGGTAATAAACAGTAACGATTGATAGCTGGATTCTGGAAAGCACAGAGAGCTACTGTTAGATCAAACAGAATTTGAGAGCTTAACAAACAATTTTCTGAACTTGCCCGACTCAGTTCACCTAACGGTTTAGCCTATTGGCATTTGAATCATTCGGAATATTCTTATCCACCATCGAAGCCCTTCTTTTATGTACTATGAATTATATAGATAATCAAATCCATTGCTAGAGCCGGTAAATATCAGTAACGATTATTAGATAAATTTTGGAAACTAGGAACCAGTATTTCAAATGATCGATAAGATCGACAACTTAGTTAGACCAAAAGAGTTTATAAGATAGTTTTGAACTTGCCTGACTCATTTCACCTTTTAAGCGGTTTAGCCTATCTGCATTTGGATCATTTGAAAAATGGTCCATCTGTTGGCTAAGAATCCTTGAAAATTCATCGTTCATTGCATATGCAGGAGCTGAAAGAATTGTACGAGCGTAGGTCTTTACAAATCTATGATGAATATCTTCAAGAAATGCAAAAGGAATTCTCCCTGCACAAATATTGAAAGAAGTTTAACTATCATCGGTTGATGAGAATACTCATCTCCGATCAAGGTGACGATGAAACTACGAACTGAGAGAAGAGTTAGATATAGACAATATGAATGCTACTGAAGCAGTCATTTTATACAGGTGAAGAAAATTTCCATTACAAACAAGTAGATTCAAATTGAGACAAATCAACAAGAACTAAAGCAGCGATATCGCAATAACAGCATGTACTGTTTAAAAGAAATTGGTTCAATGTTCATAAGCTTAGAGTTCGAAATTTTGAACGAATTATGATTTGGTTGCATTCTGTTTCAAGGAACTAAACTATCAAAAGGAAACCAAACAGAAAATGCAATTTCTCGCAGAAGTTTTCAATCAAAATTGCAATGCAACCTCGAAATCTCGTCGACTAACTTTTTCTTGCAATTCACCATCAAATCCGAGTGACAAAAAAAATGATTATATAGGAAACTATATGTAACGGGACCAATTCTTTACCTCCTCAACATTTATATGGCCTAAAGAGTAAAGTTGAGAGCGCTAATCAAGAAATGATTTAAAACAAATCCGTCCGAGCAAACAGTTACTTCTGTCCTCAAGAACAATAAAATTCGGTCAAAAAATTACAACACAAACAGAGAACCGACCGAATTTTCGGTTTAGCAGCCGATAGAATTGTGTTTTACGCTCGTGACAATGGCATCTACCGTTCTTACGCATCCACTTGGTTGGAACACATAGAATGAGGAAAACAATAAAGTCATCACAAATTTTCCCGCAGTTTCCGATCGACATAGTTCGTTTGAAATCGAATGGATAGAAATCGATGCAACGTGCTCAGAATCACTTATCAAAACGATAACATTGCAAGAACTATTAGAAAAAGATTTTCAGAACGCGTTTTCAGTCCTCAAGTCTCACTAAGAAGACCTATTATTATCTCTATTAGGAACCGTTCCACGACAGCTCGTGGATACGAATTTCGAACTAAGTTGCAGAAAAACTCGAAAGATTAAATCATTCACTTACTTCCGGAGGCTTCGTCGGCCATGCAAAGAACGGTAAGGCCATCGGTCCTCTTGACGTGAAAGATGTAGCGATCGTGAGAAAATGACGCATTGCTATCATCGTCTCCCTGCTTCATTTTCTCCATAATCTGCCTCGCAATGACGCTCGCATTCGTCTGTGTAAAGCTAAACTCCGCCAAAACAACATGTCCTCTGGCCACCATTCCATAAAGAATCGCCATCGCTCCTCTTAACACCTAAAAACCTATTAGTATCAAGACCTCATTTACGAGAAAAGAGGAGGAGCTCGGAGGCCAGAGGCATCTGGATTTGCAAACCGGAGTTAATTTGACAGATATCGTTGCAGCGGAAGGAGAAGAATGAAGGATTTCTGTTCTTTCCCGAGGCGGAGATTTAAGTGTCGTAGTGCAAAGCCAATGGCGTTACGCGATGCCGTCCGAGCCTACCCCGAATTTGGCGGGAAAAACTTGCGTTTGTAAATCAGCGGGTAGAATCGTGGTTGGTAGCTATGTAATTTAAATTTTATAATAATTTAATTTTAAAATTTTAGTACATATTACTGTAAATCTATGTTATAAAATATATATTATTTAAAAAAGTTTTAAAGGTTTTTTCTAAACCAAAATAAATAAATATCACTTTCGATCTAAAACTACTTTTAAAATGTTTTTTTTAGACTTTTTAAAAAATTTAAAGATGTTATTAAAGCTTTTCAAACTTTATTGATTTTTTTTAGACCAGCGGTAAAGTTTAAATGTATTTTTATTAATTTAGTATTTTTATTAAAATTAGACGGGCCAAAATTTTCAGAAAAAAATTCATGCGAACATTAATTATTAATTGAGTTATGAAAATATCATAGTATTATTTATTAGCAAAGTAGCACCACACAAGGACTATTCAAATGGAATTAATTCGACTTACTACATGTTATGGGTCGATTTCGTTAGTGGATTTGAACCTATCCAAGTTTGGTAGGCCGACCTATACCAAAAGAGGATGAAGGTTGTTCAAAAACTTGTGAGACCGAATTGAGCATCTCAATTGATTACTTATAAGGAAAATACACTCATAATCGACCAATGAGCCCAAGTTAAAGGCTTGTCAAAGATTTGTAAGATCGACATGAGCGTCTCAATTGATTATTCATAAAGAAAAGACGCCCTGAATTGATTGATGAGCCCAGGTCGAAGGCTCGTCAAAGGCTTATAGGACCAAAGTGAGCATCTCAATTGATTACTCATAAGGAAATACGCCCCAAATCGACCAATGAGCCCAAATCGAAGACTTGTGAGACTGAATTGAACACTCTCAATTGATTACTCACAAGGAAAATACACTTTGAATCAATCGATGAGCCCAAGTCAAAGGCTCGTCAAAGGCTCGTCAAAGGTTTGTGGGACTGAATTGAGCATCTCAATTGGTTACTCATAAGGAAAATACGTCATGAGTCCATCGATGAGCCAAGGTCGAGGCATCCATTATCCCATCCGCTAACAAAGTTGACCCCTTGCACTGTTATGACGTTGTTGATGGGACGACTATTACAAATATGAGAGCTCAATCTCCATTCAATGAGTGCAATTTAAACTTAGAACACAACTCCACTTTGTGTTTTATAATAACTTAAGTCTCATATTAATTTTAAAGATCTCTTTTATGCCATGAAACTTCAAACCCGAGTCAGAACCTTCAAACTCAACCCTAATAAAACTAAACATTTCACCTCGAAACACTTTCTTTCAAAAGACATGCCAAACACGTACTCAACTATAAGCCCTATACTTCAAATCATTTTCACAATCTACCATCTTTTGAGTTAGCTAGTTCTTCACAAGTGGTTGTATTATTATCATACGTTCTATATCTGCCACTTCTCCCAACAAGTACCAAATGGCTCTCTATCCCCACATATGAATTCAAAAAATAAGTGGACGTTCATGAATCATATCTAAGGCGTCCATCTCTCATCTTTCATCTTTCGTCTTAAAGTTCTTTGTTCATATTTGACAATATATTCTTTCTTCAAGAACATATATATCGTTTTCTCTCTATAATATTTGAATTTGTAGACTCAAATCGTTTACTAAAACAATTCAATCGATGGTTTTTTTCTTTAAAAAAAAAAACACATAATCTTTTGTAACTTGTGTTATATATATTAAATTTCTTGTAATTGATCAATTTAATTTTGATTCAATATAGTATTATAGTAAAAATATAAATTTAGTTTTGAAAGATTACCTTACCTTGAAATGTTTTTAAATACGTTGCGAAGTGTTCTGAATTACGCAATCGAGTACAAAGTAAATTTTGAAAGTTACCTTTTTCTTTTTAATATAAAAGAAATTTAAAAGGTACTTTTAAACGTGAATTTAAAAATAAAAAATAATAAGTTAAAGTTAAAGGGGGGGGGGGGGGACA